CCCCCCCCCCCCCCCTACGCGCTAACATCCGGGCCAACAAGAGTGACTTATATAAGTTGAAATAACTTGTTTCATAATCGTTGTTAAATAAAGTTTATATTGTTGTCATTACGGAACAACAGACAGACGATCTTCGTCAAAAATGTAAAGAAACATTTACAAATACAGCAAAATGGTTTCCTTTTGTATTATCCAGGAATATTTGAGACTACGAAGGAACTATTTAAATATGTATATATCGCTTATTGTAACGTATCGAGTTTGAATTTGTAACAATGTTAATGTGAAAATAGATATCCAAATATTACGAGATCCCCGTATCACTACTTAAAATTCTAAATGTACATCTACAATTACTTTTCTGATAAGACGGTAGCTTTAATAATTCATTTCTAACACGAAAATCAAATCGTGTGAAACCTTTAAGGAAAAAAGATAATCATAGAGCTGAAAGAAAGAATAAAATGATAGCAACAGTATTCCGAGTAGAAACATTCAACTTTGCCAGACATGGATGCGAATCTTCGACCACCGATCTTTGCACTTTTGCTCTAACCTACTGAGTTTCAGGTACCTTGCCAACTGTTATCCCGGGTACATACGCACTATGATTGTTTCAAATATGACATTAAGGGGAGGTAACTGTACGTATGAAAACAACAGTGGGATTGGCTAACGTTAAACAGGCAGATGGATAAGGATCCCTCAGTAAGATTGTCGGTATATATCACGTAGATAAAATATTGAGATAAACTTAACATATGTATACTACATCGTCAACACACAAGGCTACAATAGGAGCCTAAAGTTGATAAGAAAAGTAATCAACAGGAACTCAGGAGACACCAAAACAAAAGGGCAGACTTCATTATCTCACACAATAAAAACAGGACAACAAACTAGCTATGATGAGGACGAGGACTTACCTTCTATACTAACTTGACCGTTGCCGTCATTGTCAGCCTCAGCAATCATGTCGTCTATATCTTCTGATGGCAACTCGTCCCCAAGTCTCGCGAGAAGTATCTTAATGTCCCTGCGAGTGATGTAGCCGTTTCCGTCCTTATCAAACACGTGGAATGCCTCTCTGATGTCTTCTTCAGTGTCTTCCTCGGACACTTTCTTAGCTATTATCATCTTAAATTCTTCTTTGTCTATATAACCGTTACCTGTGTAAGAAAATTACATATGCGTTTGTTTCATAATTCCCTTTAACCGTTATACATGTATTTCCAGTGGTTCACATTGGTTTATAGGTGTTTCAGATACTGGTCTAGTTCTTTTTTTGGATCAATGAATAGAATATCACCATTCTAAATCTCAATGATATCCAAGAATATTTTCTTCTATAATTTCAGATGGAATTGTTTTTGTGTGTTTTTACCTGAAATAACATGCTGACTACCTTATTTCACCAATTTAAACATTGCTAAAGATCCGAACATACCTTACCTAACTACTACAATAAGATAACTTAGCATATATTAAAGCCCAAAAGGAGGTTAGAAGTAAAAGACAACATTCTAATGTGCAACGTTATGATAAGCAAAGAACACAATAAAGCTTACCTGTCGCATATTTTAGTGTTAGTATTCTTTAGTATATGATTACAACCCGGACCCTGATGAGTCATTTTTTTTTTTTTTTAATTTCGCCTTTTCTACTTTAGCAATGAGTGTACATTTGTATATTCGACAGTGATAACAAGTGAACCAAAAGTGTTACAGAAACATTCGTGTGATAGATAAAATCAATATTCTTAATCTTGGTTTATAAAATATCTTCACTAGTACAATGCTTACCTGTAGTTACACAATAGGTCGCTTTGTTTGTACTCTCATTACTTAGTGACATTAGCCCTCTGTGACGTACGTTTGACATTTTTAACCTAGTACGTGTGTGATTTTCTGCATGCCATTTATACCTGTTATATTTGTAATATAAGTTTTGTCACGAACATAAAACTTCAGTACTAAAATTAATATATCAAATATACGGCTAAAAATAAATATCGTTTAGCTTGTGTCTTGTAAAGCTGGTTCCTCCCGCTATGTACATCTGTCAAGGAACAGTAGAACAAATACATTGTGTCTACGTTATTAAATGTGGACGGCCAACATGTACAAAATACCCTATGAAGGGAGACAACTGGAAATAAAACACATCCAATTCACATGTAGGTTGATTACCTGATACTGTAATACAATGAATTTGAGATTGATTTTTTTTTATTTTTTTTTTTATTTTTTTTTACCGTCCTTGTTAACAGCTTATTTAAGGACGTGTGTCCATGTGTGTTGTGTAAGCATGCATGTGTGTATGTGTGCAAGGGAGATATTCTTTAAACATGATAATATTAGAAAGGCAAAACGCACATAAGCTACATAGTGTATACTTTTGAATATAAGTTGATGCTGCTGTTTATTATTTTACCTTACTTATATTAGATATATTTTTTATTAATAATAGTATTCCCAAATACTAGTTTGACAGCATTTAACTTATTCATACCTATATCTATGGTACACATTTCATAGTTAGTTATCCATACACTGGAATACTTTTTTCTACCTTGATGCATGTGATCTTGGTATTTCAATTACTAAAGTCAACTGTATCAACTCTACCTTATATAAAACATATCTTAGTCAGGTTATGAGGTAACATTTCTAGCTGAGTAAGTGTTTTAATAAAATAGATGGCGAATATGTTTCATAATTATTATATTCATAAGTCTTGTCAGCAAACACAAATGTCATTTTCAAAACTTATTAACGTGTGACCAGCTTAATAAAAGGAACAGCCAAAAATGTACATACGCCTTGGTTTACTCCGCCCACGTCTACTGTTCATGACGTCACACAATTGTGTCTCGTTCGCGAAAAAAAACATGTATTTTTTATGATGTCCTGTAAACTTGTCACGGTCTTTGATTTTGTTATGAGATGATAAATCCAGTTTGAAGGAACAGTTATTGAGTGAACGTCAGTATATATAATGGAATTAAATCAATTAAAAATACATGATCTATTCACTTACCATCGACGTCAGCCTCCAGCATTATTTCCTTCAGTTCGTCATGTGTAGGGTTTTGTCCTAGGGATCGCATTACTCCGCCTAGCTCTTTGATTGTGATCGTTCCATCGCCATCATTGTCGAATAACGCAAATGCGTCCTCTAATTCTGGACAAAGCAAAAGTTGTGCATATTATGTTTTTGTTTTAAAACTCTATAAATCATTGACCGCGTTGCAGTTAGAATAAGCAGTGTCAATTGTGGAGAAACACAAGAAATAATTTCTGTGTGATATGAATATAGAAACCTAGAACTAAGGACACTTTTGAGGTTCAACGTTTGAGGTACAGCATGAGGCTATGATGGTGCGTATATGTAACTTCAAAAATCTATTCCCGATAGTCATGATTTATTTATTTACATCTGCCATGAGTGATTGATGCACCCTCCAGTCCCTCCCTGTTTGTATTCAATTTTACTTATAAAGAACTTATATATTAATCCATATTTTGCCTTACAAGTTCTTTTTATTTGATACAGTACATATGAAATGTAACAATTTTACAACTTTTATAAACAAGTTGTTTTGCACCTTATGCTAATCACTCGTGTTGCACCTAATAGAAGTGGAGGGATAGTTTCAATGTGGGAAATCCAGACTTCCTGGGAAAACTCCACGTCCGATCGGGGAATCGAACCCCGGCCGTCTTAGTGTAGTAGTGAGTACGTTATCGACTACACCGCCTGAACAACTTTTCCGTTTGACCCAAAGCAGAAGACGCTTACTCTACCGGCACACGTGGTCTTATACCCTATGTACTTATTCAAGAATCCAATTGTACGCCTTTCTTTTGTTCACTTATAAATTCATATGATTTGCGATTATCTCACTATAGAATATTGGTCCTGCAATCCGAACCAATCTGGTTGTTCAAGCTTTACGTGTGTCGACTGTACTTACTTACAGGGTTTCAATACTTATTGACGTGTAAAATAAAGGACAAGGGTTTATTGTTAGTCAATATAATGTTCTCTTACCATAGTTTTGATTTAAATATTGCTATCATAACACACTTAGGTAATGAGATTAGACTTCAAATCCATTCGCTTTAAATGTATACATCTGTAATTAACTCAATTTACAATCAGAACATGAAGAAAATTATATAAGGTGAACAAAACAGCAGTCATCACAATACATACAAAGTATTTTCTAGTCGTGTTGTAGTTTTCATACATAATAACGTCGAGATGCAATCTCCTGTAATACTTTGTATGTAAGTCACGTTAGTTCTTCCACTGGCATGACTTCTTATACCATTCCATTAATAATAATAATAATAATATACAACAATAGCGCCCTATCTAGCTAGCATAAGCCACTCTAAAGCGCTTTACAGTATATAGATAAATAATTTTATACAATCAATACAATTAGCATATATATATTAATCAATACAATATTGAGGAATTCGCAGGAGCTGCCTTATCAGGCGCTAACTACTAGTCATATGTCACCTGGCTAATAACTCCCTATGTGTGTATGTCTGTGATTGTGTTGGAGATGTATTGTGTTCTGTATGTAGTGGGACCGTGCTTCCAACGGTATCAGTTATAGTGCCACTTCACTTGAATGCTACAGCACAGATACCGCAACACCCACCCCAGACCATTTTATAATCCACCTGGATTGTTTGAGTTGTGTGGGCAGGAGAAAAACACTTTCTCTAATATTCCATGCATTAACGTCTTTATAATCTAAACATGCAATCACCATTCATTTGATTGAAAGAGTTACCTAGTGGTGCCGTTTTAACGTGTTTCTCGGGCAATTTATTGAAGTCTATTCCCTATGTTATTTTAGGTGAAATGCCAAACGTCAAATTGATCTGTATGTCAAATTAATGATCCTGAGACAGAATAATTGTGTTAACCATATGTTTAAACTATGCTCATGCAAAGAATTTTAAAACATTTGTTTATACCATATTAATCAGTATTTATCGCTAGCACTATAGGATACTGATAAAAACTGCAGAACCGTTAAATTCAGCCATCAATTTAATCTAATTGACTCGGTTGGTTTTCCTCTCACATGTTCTAAATGCCATACACAGTTTATTAATCATATATAAACAAATGTGTGGGTGAATAAGTATCCAAAGCTTAGACAAAAGTTCCCATTCACAATATAACTACTCTAAAGCAAAATCTTTGGAAAGCAAGAAATTTAAATCTGAGAAAAATGATTTGATTTCATAGCATAAGAAAGCGCATAATTTGTCGTTATAGCACTTTATTGGTTATATGTGCGATTGGTGTATATCACGAGAGATATAAATCCTACATATGAAGAGAACACAGAAGATATCTATGTCAGGGTAGGCCGTTTTCAGAATAATGTGACAAGTATGATACTGTGCTATGTTGTTAGTTTATGATATTTCAGTAGTATGATTTCAATACTTTTAAATGATCTTTGGGTAGCCAAATATATTGTAAACACCATCTGTATATGCCATTTACAAGGCTACAGCCAATCCAAAACCAATGAAAATCAGTCGGGTTTTGCTAGTACCCAATATAAGTCTTCCAATCTGATAATGAAAACCAGATATGGGTGGCCATCTTGTTTTCTATCTTGATGAATAACTTGATCCTGACTATGAAATGCACATTAAATATAGACTAGAATTCCTAAAACTTACCCTTTTCGTGAAGGCTTTCTTGAAATTCTGCCTGTAATTTAAGAAGGTTTATAATTGATGATTTTCAACATAAATTGTATAGACAGTGTACATATATTGTTTAACTTCGAAATGAATTAGTCTGAAAATTCAATACCGCGTTAAGACCAATCATATCGTCCAATCATTTGACATGCTCTGGTAATTCTTAATCATAAACTGAAGATTATCAAATGCAATTCAGAAGATTAAGTGTAATGTAGCGTGCATCCTCCAGACAAAACATCCCTTATGATTATTTGTTTTTAATCAACTCGTTCAATATTATTTGTTATATTTTCATTATCAGATTAATGGAATGTTTACATTATTATTTTTTTGATTTGTATTACAAAATTGTCGATCTCAAAATTGTAGCACATTAAACTCTATGAACCAAGCATATCACGCGTGAATGCTTGTGCAACGCAGTTACATCTTGTATTGCAGTTACATCTGTTAATATAGCTACCATATTTAGACCAGGCCTCGATATCAGACATATTTTCATACTCTTAAATCCGAAGTTGATTGCAGCTTATATTTAATTGTTTAGTGCTATAAAATACCATTTCTTATATTATACAAATGTGTTAATACATTCTAATTATGTATTATGTTATACTTGAAACGATTTTCGAGATAAATATTCATTTTATGTAGAAATGAAAATTTGGACTCCAGTCTAGGATAATCTGCATGATACTATTTGTGTTCCTTAAAATTTAAACTAGTTATTACCGTAGCTGTGATGAATGCTCGAAAATAGGTTTCAAAGTTGTATAATGCTTACGCTGCATTTCTGTAAAAGGTTATATATAGCATAAAAGATCACTTACCATTTCTTCTTCAATCCCGTTGTCTTTGAAACTAGCACATGCTACACAAACACAATGTGTAAACAGTAAGTGTACGCTTTATTATAAACCAGATACTGCCTAATTATAGTAGGAATTTATTTAATCTTTATATGGATTACTTACACATGCAACCGATCACTAATACACAGTATATTTATATAGGTATAGTATGTACAATAACAAACTGGAAGGTACCTAGGGAGAAAAGCCACAGGATAATCTACCAGTGTCGGTAATGCATACTTGGTTTAAAATGTTTTTAATGTATTTGATGTTTATATAAATAGATTTATTTGAATTTGAAGTTGTCGCGAATGATTTGGAGAGTAGTAGTATAAACAATATGAAATTGATTCTCTTCATTATAATTTAAATTTCTGTTTGTTTAATTGAAAACCGTCAATATGTTGTAGAGTGTCACAGTTTGTTTAAATTATGTTTTACTTTGACCCTGTTAGCCGGCGAGATTAACGTCATCATGTATATAATACAGGTCAACAACTGTTCATGCGAACCAACTCTCTGCTGAAGGGAGGTAAGTCGTAAACAAAGGTTTAAACGCTTATCAAACAGTGGTAGTGTTAGTTAGAAAAATCGTATTTATTTGGCGGCTAACATAGCTATGGCGACATCAATGTCGCACCTTATTCCATATTTCTGAGGGTTTTTTCCACATACAATAACACTTGCTGAAGTCGAACTTGAATGTGTCACAACACCTCTGCCTCGTCGAACAAGTCGTCCTATTGATGGTTTTACATGTATCGAACACCTCAACAGTTAACCAGGAATCAATGCGGATAACCTGACAGTAAAACCTTACATAACTGCTTTGATACTCAACAGAACAATAGTGAAAAGAAATGCAAAGCCACCAAAAGAAACACTATAATAAAACAACACACAACCATATTCGACAATTCGACCTCGAAGCGGCCAATTAATACTGGTTGATCTGTACTGGAGATAACCTACCATATAGCGCATGTACATGGTTACTGGTGGATCTGTACTGGAGTTAACCTACCATATAGCGCATGTACATGGTCACTGGTGCATCTGTACTGGAGATAACCTACCATAAAGCGCATGTAAATGGTCACTGGTGGATCTTTACTGGAGATAACCTACCATATAGCGAATGTACATGATTACTGGTGGATCTGTACTGGAGATAACCTACAACATAGCGCATGTACATGGTTACTGGTGGATCTGTACACGAGATAACCTACCATATAGCGTATGTACATGGTTACTGGTGGATCTGTACTGGAGATTACCTACCATATAGCGCATGTACATGGTTACTTGCAGATCTGTACTAGCGATAACCTACCATATAGCGCATGTACATAGTTACTGGTGGATCTGAACTGGAGATAACCTACCATATAGCGCATGTAAATGGTCACTGGTGGATCTTTACTGGAGATAACCTACCATATAGCGAATGTACATGATTACTGGTGGATCTGTACTCGAGATAACCTACCGTATAGCGCATGTACATGGTTACTGGCGGATCTGTCCTGGAAATAACCTGCCATATAGCGCATGTACATGGTCACTGGTGCATCTGTACTGGAGATAACCTACCATATTGCGCATGTACATGGTTACTGGTGGATCTGTATTGGATATAACCTACCATATAGCGCATGTACATGATTACTGGTGGATCTGTACTCGAGATAACCTACCGTATAGCGCATGTACATGGTTACTGGTGGACCTGTACTGGAGATAACCTACCGTATAGCGCATGTACATGGTTACTGGTGGACCTGTACTGGAGATAACCTACCGTATAGCGCATGTACATGGTTACTGGCGGATCTGTCCTGGAAATAACCTGCCATATAGCGCATGTACATGGTCACTGGTGCATCTGTACTGGAGATAACCTACCATAAAGCGCATGTAAATGGTCACTGGTGGATCTTTACTGGAGATAACCTACCATGTAGCGCATGTACATGATTACTGGTGGATCTGTCCTGGAGATAACCTACCATATAGCGCATGTGCATGGTCACTGGCGGATCTGTACTGGAGAAAATCTACCATATAGCGCATGTACATGGTTACTGGCGGATCTGTCCTGGAAATAACCTACCATATAGCGCATGTACATGGGTACTGGTGGATCTATACTGGAGATAACCTACCATATAGCGCATGTACATGGTTACTTGCAGATCTGTACTAGAGATAACCTACCATATAGCGCATGTACATACATGGTTGCTGGTGGAGCTGTACTGGATATAACTTACCGTATAGCGCATGTATATTGTTACTGGTGGATCTTTGCAGGAGATAACCTACCATATAGTGCATGTACATGGTTACTGGTGGATCTTTACTGGAGATTACCTACCATATAGCGCATGTACATGGTTACTGGTGGATCTGTACTGGAGATAACATACTATATAGCGCATGTACATGGTTACTGGTGGAGCTGTACTGGAGATAACCTACCACATAGCGCATGTACATGGTTACTGGTGGATCTTTACTAGAGATAACCTACCATATAGCGCATCTACATACATGGTTACCGGTGGAGCTGTACTGGAGATAACCTATCGTATAGCGCATGTATATTGTTACTGGTGGATCTTTGCAGGAGATAACCTACCATATAGTGCATGTACATGGTTACTGGTGGATCTTTACTGGAGATTACCTACCATATAGCGCATGTACATGGTTACTGGTGGATCTGTACTGGAGATAACATACTATATAGCGCATGTACAGGGTTACTGGTGGAGCTGGACTGGAGATAACCTACCGTATAGCGCATGTACATGGTTACTGGGGGATCTGTACTGGAGATAACCTACAACATAGCGCATGTACATGGTTACTGGTGGATCTTTACTAGAGATTACCTACCATATAGCGCATGTACATGGTTACTGGTGGGTCTGTACTGGAGATAACATACCATATAGCGCATGTACATGGTCACTGGTGGATCTGTACTGGAGATAACCTATCATATAGCGTATGTACATGGTTACTGGTGGATCTTTACTGGAGATAACCTACCATATAGCGCATGTACATGGGCACTTGTGCATCTGTACTGGAGATAACCTACCACAGAGCGGGTGTACATGGTTAGTGTTGGATCTGTACTGGAGATAACCTACCACATAGCGCATGTACATGGTTAGTGTTGGATCTGTACTGGAGATAACCTACCACATAGCGCAGGTACATGGTTACTGTTGGATCTGTACTGGAGATAACCTACCATATAGCGCATGTACATGGTTACTGACAGATCTGTACTGGAGATAAACTACCTTATAGTGCATGCACTTGGTTACTGGTGGATCTGTACTGGAGAAAACCTACCATATAGCGCATGTACATGGTTACTGACAGATCTGTACTGGAGATAAACTACCTTATAGTGCATGCACTTGGTTACTGGTGGATCTGTACTGGAGAAAACCTACCATATAGCGCATGTACATGGTTACTGGCGGATCTGTACTGGAGATAACCTACCATATAGCGCATTTACATGGTTACTGGTGGATCTGTACTGGAGATAACCTACAACATAGCGCATGTACATGGTTACTGGTGGATCTTTACTAGAGATAACCTACCATATAGCGCNCAGTGATGGATCTGTACTGGAGATAACCTTCCATATAGCGCATGTACACGGTTACCGGGGGATCTGTACTGGAGATAACCTACCATATAGCGCATATGTATGGTTACTGATCGATCTGTACTGGAGATAACCTACCACATAGCGCATGTACATGGTTACTGGTGGATCTGTACTAGAGATAACCTACCATATAGCGCATGTACATGGTTACTGACAGATCTGTACTGGAGATAAACTACCTAATAGTGCATATACATGGTTACTGGTGGATTTGTACTGGAGATACATGTAACCTACCACATAGGGCATGTACATTGTTACTCGTAGATCTGGACTGGAGAAAACCTACCGTATAGCGCATGTACATG